TCCCTCTTCTGTGCACATAAATCAGCAAATGCAAACTGAAGCCCTCAAAAAGTGCTGAACAGTGAGCACTGCTATTACGTAAGCACTTTCCTGGATAGAATAATGCTTCAAATAACGATTTAAAATTGACCTGAATTAAAAGCTTTGGTAAAAATCTCTCAAAGATCTCTCTGGGCAGCCTCCACGTATACAAAATATGGGTGACTGCTTGTGGTACTGGTGTGCCAAGGGCTGGAAAATAGCCATGGTCTCACCACTTTCTTTCTTCAAGCCAAATATTTTCCTCGTAGAGTAGAGCTGGGAATCCAGGAACCTGAAGCCAGGGGAGGCAGCGATTAGTGGTTTGAAGTGTTAATGGTACTACGGTGGGAACAGGGAGTCCCTTCAGCTCAGCTATTAGCAAATTAATAAAAGGGGTAACACGCTCTCCTGAGTGTTACAAATTTAGCACTAATTAGGACTTCTCTTTCTTAGCTATTTTAGGCAAGGCAATCTTCAATATCCTTTGTTATATTTGAATCATATTGTTTGTAGAAGTAAATTATATGGAAACATTGATTTCTTCACCAGGCTGCACTCTGTTAAACTTTTTCCATTCTCATTTTATTTCTGACAGAACTTATAGCTGGATATTTTGTATGCGGTTCATTTTATTGAGCAAATCTTCCCCCCTAAAGAGGTCTTTCTTTGAATGAAACTAACCTACAGGCCATTTATTTCTCACAGATCATCCCAAACATTTCAAAGATCCCCTTTTCACAGGAGCATCGGTGCTCCAACTTATTTAAACTTATTTAAATTTAATTTATTTATTTATTGCTCATATATTCCAGATGTTAAACCGCATAGAGTTACTGTAATTGGTAAGCCATATTTTTCTGCCGAATATCTACAGAGTTTTGTGTATTTTAGTACTTCAGAATTAATTACAAAAGAAACTTAAATCAGGTTTGCAATGAAAAAAGCCCATAATTAGAGCATAAGCCAAAAAAATGTCCTCCTGCTCTTTCCTTCTTCTTGCATTGCCCAAGTCTCATCTAAACCTTGCCTGAAGTCCAGAAAACAAATCTCACAGTTGATTGAATATATCTAATTGTGAATTGATGTCTACGCTTTTGCAGATACGTTTCAAACTCTGCCTGGTGGCTGTATTGGCTAATTTGCTTGCACCCAGGAAATTAATTCTTTTTTAACTACAGTGCAAAGCTATGATATTTGGAGATATATGTCTGCCCTTCTGGAAGGAATATTACTTCTGTCTAGCAAAATCAATGCATTGCTAAATGATTGACATAGCCACAAAAGGTTTTCACTTTTAATGTTTAGGAAAACACTGATGGGAAAAACAAAGCTCTACAGTTTGCATAATGAGAGTAGAGCCAGACTGGCTGAGGCAGAAGAAACTCACTTCAATTCAACAAAAGCCATAGCTTATTTGAGCAATAAAGAGAGAATGTAGATCGAGGGTTACATCTGATGACACTGAGTAAAAGAGCATGTTAGAAGTTATCGGTAGTGAGCTCAGGGTTTACAACACACATGTACACATCCACACATGTACAGCTGTATGAAAATATGCCATGACAAATACTGGACACTGTCAAAGTGGCTTTCCATAAAATAATGCAAATTGATGTTAAAATCTACATTTTATGATCAATTAGAAAGGGTAGTTAAGCAGCAGTATTAATAACCTCTGAAACAAATGTAGCATGAAAAGGATATTTCCATGACAAGAGCTCAGCTCAGAAGACTTTGTCTCGTGTATATGAAAAATCAAATCTTTGCAAAGGTGAGACTAAAGGGATCAGCCATTTCCCTGCCTAGAAGAACTGGATCACAGAATCACAGAATCGCTCGGTTGGAAAAGACCTCCGAGATCATCACATCCAACCGCTCCTGTCTACCCACTAAACCATATCCCTAAGTACCTCGTCTACCCGCTCCTTAAACACATCCAGGGATGGTGACTCCACCACCTCCCTGGGCAGCCTGTTCCAGCTTCTGACGACCCTCTCAGTAAAGAACTTCCTCCTTATCTCTGACCTGAACCTCCCTTGGCACAGCTTGGTGCCGTTTCCCCTTGTTCTATCCCCCATCACCTGGGAGAAGAGACCAGCACCCACCTCTCTACAACCTCCCTTGAGGCAGTTGTAGGTAAGGATGAAGACTTTTCCTCATTCTCCTGTGTCAGGAAATACATGATACAGTCATTTCTGTTTACTTCTGTTAAAGGACTGGTCAGAGAGAGTATTCTGCACTATATGAGGCTAAAGAAAGTATTATTTTTACTATTCCCCTGCATGAGATAGGATGTGAATGGTGTACACTGAAGTGACACTGTGACATCCTGTCTGCATTAGGGTCCTAAATGCTAACAATCAGCAAGTCATTTCTTCCCTCCATGTGGGCTATAACTGCAGGAATAAGATGTGTGAGTGTGTAAGCTGAGCAGCGAGTAGATAAATTCCAGATGATTATTAAAGCTGGTGAATACAAATCTTACAGCTCTGCAAGCAGCCTAGTTCCAGAAAAGACCTTTAAGGTCAATTCATTTCCCTTCTGTCATAGGCAACCCTCTGAAAGAAACCACATGATAAAGTGAACCAGCTCCATCACAAAAGGAATTTTTGCCACCATTTCTCCTACTGTGCAGGAGGAGGAATCCTACTGCAGCTCCTTGGAAATGTAGAAATTTTCCTATTCCCAGCCTTAATATACTCTTATCCAGTTTATTCGCATCATTTTTTTCTGCCAAAATTGTGCTTCTGCTTAAATAGCGCTTCTCCCTTCTGTGTGCTTATCCGTGATGTATTTATAGGGAGTCCTCTCTCAGCATTCATTGCATGAGCTAAAACAAGCCATCCTTTTTTTAGTCTCCTTTCATAGAACAGACTTTCCACGATCTGGATCACCCTTGCAGCCCACCCCTTCACCTGCTCCAGTCTCAGCATGGGGACCAGAACTAGCAACAGCACCTCTATTTTGTTTTACCAGGGATTTTTACAATGCCGTTAACATTCCCTTCTTTCTGACTGCTATATTGTACATTTGCACTGTCTCTACATAGAATTGTTCAAGCACATAAATGATGTTACACAGTTAACCATCAAATACCGTTTTGTCATCTCATTTGATACCACTTGTGCTCCTTGGGAGTGTGGTCAGCATCTTGCAGGCAAAATCCTCCAGTGCTTTTCATCCGGTGCTTTTTCATCCTTGATAGCTCCTGCAAAGTATTTCAGCATGAAGATGTTTCAGCAGCCTTTGCAAAGGCAAGTGAATCATTCAAAAAAAAAGAACAATCCATCCATCTTCTTTAGTGTCACCAATTAATAGCTGCTTGGGATGCTTTGAATCTATAGCTGCTTAAGGGAAGAAAAATAACCAACCCCTTCCTATAATGCTGTGCTATCATTATATTTTGTGTACTCTGCCTGCACAAGGAAGCTTTATTAAATAAACCTCGTTTATGAGGGCAATGCATAAAGGCCTCTGGTGCTTTGAAGAAGGGGAAAAGACCAGTTATGCTGATCCAGAATAAGAAGGTAACTAAAATCCAGTTGATAGACAAGATTATTTCTTATTGTTAGAAAGCATTTCTTGTTCCAGAAGCCAATGGTCAGAGCCTGGCTGATTTTGGTGGCTGTGCTTCTGTCTTCTCCTGCCTTTGGAAGTAAGCAGTGTTGGGGACAGCCAGAGTTTCCTCCACTTGATGAAGCTGGAACAGCCTTTTACCTCTTCCTTCTGATTTGACTAATTTTGCTGCAGACTGTGCAAAATAAAGGGCTGTTTTTAAAAGAGGGTAGTGTTGCTTTTGTGGGCAGCTCAGGTCACAAGCTGCTAGAGCAAAGTCATTGCACCCTTTGGTGGAGCTGCTGCCTTGGGGTCCCTGTCAGCCAGAGAGAACACCCTGGGTCAAATCCTCTCCCATGTTTGGCAGACATAAGGATGCATTCCCAAACTTGCCCACGGCTGCTGGCCCAAATGCAGGTTTTCTCTTCTTGTTCCATCCCTTCCTCTCTCCCTAAGGCATTGTGGCCACTTATGGCATTTGCCGTTGGACATACAGCTCTGTCTGTGCCCTGAGCAGGACAGCAATGCTGCCTCTTGAGGGGGATCAGTTCACTTCCAGATAATCTGCTGGAGAGGGAGGGTCTGTGCCTACGTGTAATGGAACCTGATGGAGGCTAATTAAAAAGAAAACCATCCATTTATGCTGTCTCACTAGGGATTTGTCATAAAAACCTTATGTTCCCTTACAAGCCTAAACAAGTGTTTTCACCATGTAAAAATCAGCCGTAAAGCTGTCTGGAGAGTAGTTAACATGCCTAAGCTGTCATTTATAGAAGCTGTCTGCAGCCTGGATCCTGCAGGTGGGAATGGCCTTGTCATTGTCCTCAAACCACCTCGCATAAATGGGGCATCCCTCCTTCAAAATGGGAAAGAGGGCCAAGCCCAGCAGTCCTGCGCCGACAGTCATTTGGAGCGAATGCTTCTCCGTCTGGCCCTGACGGGAGCCAGAAATGAGAGGCAAAGACCACTTGTTACTTTAGAGCTGTGCTAAAGATCTTCAGAGGTTTAGAAAGTGTAAATTTAGTAGCAGTGTTTCCTAGGGTCTATGGAGATTGACCCTTTTCTGCATTTGCAAGTGGCATGGTCTCCTCAACCCCAATCAGGCTACTGTTTTTGAGGAAAACTAAATTCCCTATAGAGCATGGGAGTTGTCATGCTGTTTTGCAATGGAAGAAAGTTCTGGGCTGCATCCCTTTGGCTGCCCCAAGGGAAAACCAACATGGTCTAAGTGGTTTCCCTCCTCACTGTCCATCCAGGATTAGCTTTTCCCTCATCCAAACTCTGCATGCTTCAGAGTTTCTGCCAAAACTAAGGCTTGTTCAGAAGTCGTATTGGGACAGATCTTTGTAAGGGCAAGAAGAGATAACTGCTGTCCATCTATGGGACAACCCCCTGGGGTAATGCCAGCTGGTGTCTCCTTGCAGGCGTCGGAGGTGGAGCGGCAGCTCTCCCTGCAGGTCCACACCCTCCGGGAGGACTTTCGGGAGAAGAACTCCTCCAGCAGCCAACACATTGTGCGGCTTGAGAGCCTCCAGGCCGAGGTGAGTCACCTGTGCGCGGCCTTGTTCCTTCAAAAGGTGGCCAGGGCTGTTTTAACTTGTATAATGAACCCCTCTGAACTGGGTAAACAAAACCTGCTGCTTGCAGCAAACAAAGAGATGGATGGTAGCTCTGGGGCAAAGGACTCCCCCAGTGAGGATTTCTGCTGCGACTCAAGTCTGGCTGGGGTGGCATGAGCCAGCTTCTACCACTGCCTTGGCCACAGACATGCCTGGATGAAAGGGATCTTCAAGAAGCTAAACCATGGCTGTGCTCTTGCAGGGCTGCTGCCCAGTAGACTGAATTCTGCAGCATGATGGGAAGGTCTGCAAGGTTTTGTGTTCTTTTGTTTTTCATGCTTGCAAAGAAAGCAGCAATCCTCTCCTGCCTCTGAGCCACGCATGTGGGAAAGCAAGGAGTCCCTGCCTGTTTTAGCTCTGGTACATTAGCAAGAATGACATTACCTTCCTTCCTCTTTCCTTCCCTTATGGGAGTCACCAGAGACCATGTAAGCAGGAACCAGAGGGGTAGAAGATGTCCAACTCTGCTAGCCTCTGGCATTTTTTATTTATAAGCTGTCTGAAAGAGCTTTTCCTAAAATCTCTCAATTTCTTCTTTTCTCCCACTCCCACCTGCTCCCTGCTGGTCCCTCGCCTTTTCTTCCCCTCCCCTTGGTGTGGAGCAGCAGGTCCTTGAAGTAAGTATGGAGGCTCGGAAAGGGTTTGCCCATGCATGCATTGCTGTCATCATGCATGCCTGTCACTGTGCATGCTCCACCTTGCTTCCTTGCCTCCTTCCTGTCTCTTGCTTTCCAAATCCCATTCCCCCTGTGCCCTTCCTATGGCCCAGGGCCTACGGCAGAGCGATGTTTTTTCTGTTACATGGTCATTCACAGGGTGTTCATTACTGTTTTGGATACCAAATATGAACTCTTTTTATAATCTGTGTATTATATCTCTTATTTTTCTTGCATCCCTTTTCTCCAGCCCACGCAAATCATGATGGTGGTGGGAAGAGGGATCTCAGAAACCATTAGTCACCTAAGAGCAGCTTTCCAATACCTACAGTAGCCTTTACCCTGCGGAAATAGCAAGTTCATGCACTTTGCTAATATTCCTTCATGCAGCTAAATCTTTCCAGAGACCTGAAAAGCAGTAAAGAGACAAGGTCCAAAAGAGGCCAAGAAAGCACTGGGAAGTTCCTGGATTTGCCTATAGTCCATGAACTGAAAAGAGGCCATAGGGAATATTTAGGGTTATACTGGACTGGTAAATGGCATACCCGGTCTCTAGAGGTCCTTTGTGACCTGGGAAAAGGCTCCTTTTTCTTGGTTAAAGAAGAAGTGACCTTGGCTAGTGCTGATTCATCCTGTTCCCAGCTAACTGAATCACAGAGGTTTTGCTTGGCACATTGTCCCTCATCACCTGAAATCACTGCCCTTGACAATTAAAAGAAATGAACCAATTTTAAGGCAACCAATCATTGGGAGACTAAAAATAAGCATGGCACAGAAAGGAGTCTTCACAAGTAAAAAGACAGAAAAATCCCCGGTGAGGACCTGGCCAACATGCAGCAATTAAGAAAAGTGTATGGGCAGTGCTGTGGCACAGCCCTGTGGGGAGCAGGGTCCCGCAGGCTCACCCAGTGGTCTCCAGCACCCATACAGGAGAAAACGCCACCAGCAAAGAAATGCAACTAGTTTGCTCAATCTTGCAAATTTTAAGATACAGGGGGTAGGCAGGGCTGGTCTCTACTTAATCCACTGGGACATTTTTGCCTTCTCCCTTGGCCTCCTGGCAATGCTCACCCAGCCCCTTTGGAAGCTGCCCCTGCAGCCCAGGGAAGGAGGAGTTTCCTTTCAGAGCTTTCCTAAGCTTTAAGCCACACGCACAGATACAGTTTCTCTCATAGAGGTACAGAACACATGCGTTCAGATTTTTGCTTTTCGCTGTTTCATTTCTCTCTTGAGAATGTGATTTCCCTCCTCTGCTACCCAGAAAGTGTGGGGTCCGACACTGCCTCTCTTTCCTCTGCAGATCAAAATGCTAACAGACAGAAAGCGGGAGCTGGAGCATCGCCTTAGTGCCATGATGGAGGAGAACGACCTGCTCCAGGGAACTGTGGAGGAGCTGCAGGACCGCGTCCTTATCCTGGAGAGACAAAGCCATGACAAGGACCTGCAGGTGAGGAGGCAGCAATGGGACAGTGAAAAGAGGGAAAATGGAGTAAAAGACATGGTTTGGGTTAAAATTGACCAGGAAGATAATCAGGAACTGTAAGACAAAACAACTGGAAGAGTAAAACAGCTCATGTAAGCATGGCAGTAAACAGGGTCCTGGGTGTTCCCTATCAGGACAGATAACAGATGCCACAATGGGGCATCGTGACAGCAAAAAGCAGCTTAGGGGAGAGATCTGAGCAAGGGAGTGGGACAGGGTGCTGGGGAAATGAGGTAAATGTAAAAAGAAGCAGAGAACTCTAGCTGCAGTTCATTTTACTTACTTTTCTAATAGTAGAATTTACTTCAGAAGGGACTGCTTTAGACTCTGCTGTCCCAGAGGGCAGTAACTGGCCTTGTAGCTCTCACTGCTCAGATGGTTTCCCAACAAGCTCCATGGTATTTAGCATCCGTGTGCCACCAAACCTCACTCCTGGGAGACGAAGCTGGCACCTCTGTGACTTTAGGCATCTTAGTGGAGAGCAAGACTTTTCCATTTATCTTCTGTGGGTTGACAGCCACTGGATTCATAGCTCTCCAAAACAGCACTGAATATTTTTTTCCTTTCTATAATATATGTTTGTACTTATATATGTGTCTAGATTTTTGAAAACATGTCTATATTACTTTTCTTTTTGCATTCACTTCCTACTGTGTTGTTTTCAGCAGTTTTTTTTACCTGAGTCTCAACTTCTTCACAGTGTTCCTCATTTTAGTGCTGATTAACCGGCTATTTTTATCTTTCAGGATATTCTGGAGTCTAAACAGTGTCTAATGACATTTGGAGATTATTGGGCTCCGATAAATAGCAATACCAGCCAAGAGTACTTTCCTCCTGGCTTGAAGCCCTCCTTCGTGACACCCATTCCTCCCTCTCAGCTCCTCCACAAACTGAAACATTCACCCAGTCCTTATCACCTCCACTATTTTCTTCCTGCTTCTTTGACAAATTCCTTTGTTTTCTTTGCAAGCTGCACCAAAGCCAGCTGGAGCTCCAGGAGGTGCGGCTGTCCTACCGGCAGCTACAGGGGAAGGTAGAAGAGCTCAGTGAGGAGAGAAGTCTCCAAAATTTCAACACAACCAGCACGTCCTTGCTATCTGAGATAGAGCAGAGCATGGAGGCAGAGGAGCTGGAACAAGAACGAGAACAGGTATTTGCTCTCTGGCCCCTGGGAAAGCCCATGGACCTCTGTGACCAGCCCCAAAGGGAGAGGGAGCATTTGATTTGGATTTAGAGCAAAGCCAGAAAATTGGGTTTGTGGCCCCAGCTCCGGTATCAACACCCTTTTGATCGTATGAAAATAAATCTCTACATCCATTTCAAAACCAACATAGCAGGCTAAACAAATACTTGTGAGGTTTGGTAATCACATGCATCACTTCACTGTGGAAGGAGGATCTCTGTGGCCTTCGTGTCCCAGGCTAATGTCAGACTCTCATTCCAGCTGAGGCTGCAGCTCTGGGAAGCGTATTGCCAAGTACGATACCTCTGCTCCCATCTCAGAGGAAACGACAGCGCAGACTCAGCAGTCTCCACAGACTCCTCCATGGATGAGTCTTCAGAAACCTCATCAGCCAAAGATGTCCCAGCCGGCAGCCTACGAGCAGCTCTCAGTGAGCTGAAAAGACTGATACAAAATGTGCTGGATGGGGCAGACTCCACGGTAAGTTGGTGGCACAGGGAGACCTTGGCTTGTGCATGTTCCCTTGCCCAGCTGACAGAGTTTGCTGCAGGTTCCTGCTGGATCCTGAAGTCCCCAGTCTCCAAGAAAACCTCTGTGGCCCACAGAAGTGGACTGTCAGAGTGCACAGCCTGCTCCATGTTTCCCTAATGGTCAGCCGAGAGCCAAGCCACCACATGGGATTTCAGTTTGCAGTGGTCAGGCTGCCATAAGTTTCAAGTTAACGCAACCATTGTTGGTCTGGGAGTCATTCCAGGGAATAAATGAAAGCAGGCTTTCTTTGAGATTTGCAGTAAGTTAGAGTTTCAGCGTGGAAATACTGCAGATTGTCTTATACATCACAGTTCAGTTATTTTTCTTAGGATTTTCCTAATCTTGCTTTATTAGCAATCGTATCACAAAAACATCATAACCCCTGTGTGAGTAGGTTCTGCCTCTGAGGATTGACATTGGGTACAAATGTCTTGGCAAGAGCTGCCAGACTCAAAGCCATTGACAGGCGAAGGGTTTTGCTGACACACAATGGTGTCTGTAGGGTAATGCCCCCAAGCTGCAGAGGAGGAGGGGATGGCCTGGAGGACCACTTAGCATCCACAGGAGTGCAGAATTACCAGAAAACACCTCACTTTTTGCAACGGCTCAGATCAGGCCTATTTCCATCACCCACAAGCTGGTTGCATTGCCACTATGGCTTATTTAATATGCCAGGGTGAGGAAGATAGTGCAGACCCTGCAGCTGCAGACCTGCATGAGAGTACTCACCTCCTTTGTTTCAGTATCTGTAGCAGCTGGTAAGAAGGCTTAGCAGAGAGATGAAGTTGTATTTGTTAAATAAAAAATAGAGTCCTCAACAGGTCTACAAACACAGAGACTGTAACGATATGTGATCAAGTGGTCAGTGGGTCCCTGTAAATTTGGTTTATGCTGCAGTGAGGACATGTCTGCATGCTCTTTTTATCATGTATAGAAGCACACTACCCTTGGCTGAGTATTTTTCCTCTGTGGACATAGATGGAAACAAAATTGAAACTCTATCAAAGTCACATTCACACTTTCTTATTCCTTGTTTAGTACCCACCATCCGAAACCAGTATCAAATTAATGCAATTGCCTTTTTTAAAGTGAAATCTTGAGCAAGAGATTTCTCTCCCGCTCTCAGAGCTCTCGACGAAGCGATGATGACACCTTAGAGGAACAGATCAGGCGAACAAGTGAGGATTCGCGAGCCCTGAGGGAATTAATGGAGGGAGAACGGGGGAAACTGAGGCAGAGTTTGGAGGAGCTGCAGCGACTACACAGCCAGGTTAGCAATTCCACACTTTACATGTGGTCTTGTAACATTAGTGTTCATGCTCCAAGACATGCCTTCCACAGAAGAGATCAACACGATAAATAACTCAGGAGGATTTGAGCCAAAACCAGTTATAGTTGGATGAGGGAGACTCTGTTAAACCCAGTGCAGAGACTTCATGCATTTAGTATCAGAGGTTTTGACAAGTTTTCTATGGTCCATAGCAGACGTAATCTCAAGCAGCCAAACTTCCTTTAAACCTTTCCCCCAGTCTGCTTTTCAGCTAACCTGTCTCGCTTGAATTCTTCTCAACAGAAGACCCCTTAGTACAAGGCTGCTTGATATGGGGTGCTGGAAACTTATAGGTACCCAGTCTGACCTGTCTTGCTTGCACTAGGTCCTCGTAAAGGGTATACAGAACCACTGGATGGACAAAACAGTGCTGCTCTGCTGTGCACACCGAAAGGTTCACCCCCTTCCACAACAGCATCACAAAACCCTCATAAATGCACATCCAGAGAATCTTAATCATGGCCAGCCTGGTACCAGGCAGCACCCTGGGGCCAACAAGGACTGGCTAAGGCTGAGATAATCTCAACAAATGATCCAACCCCAAAACCAACACCACATCCAAGACACATAATCACACTGCATCTGCTCTGAATGTAGTATTGTCTGTGTCCTATGCCAAAAGCAGCAAATGAAGACAGGCAGCCAAGGAGATGCTCTGCAATCCCTGTCTCTGTGGGACAAGGCTCCAAACACTGGTAGGGATCTCAAGGCTGCAGCAGAAGTGGCCTTTGGCGCAGTTGCTTGTGCAGCATCAGCTCCACTGGAACAGGGAATGGGATTGACACCCTTGGCTAGTCTTGCCTGCTGTGCTGTATAGCCCTTTCACTGTACCCCTTTGGAGAAGAGAAAACGTATTCCTGTTCAGAAAGTCAGCATAACCTGGGTCTGACAGCCTTGCACAGGGCTATGGGAGGTCCCACCATGGGGCTGAAGAGAAAAGAATGAGTGTGTCATTAAATACCCCTGGCAGTGATGGCTGCATGTATAAGAGTCTTGCTGATGAAGAGGCAGACTGCAGCAAGGCAGCAGCCCTGGCATGCATCCTTCCTTGAGGACTGCTCCTCTCAGTGATGTGACCACTACAGGAGACATCTTGGAGGGTCCAAACTTCTGCTCCCCGTGAGACGAGCCCAGACACTCCTCTGTGCATCACCCACAGGTCCCCCTTGCCCTTAAACACATCTGAGGTGGAGGATACAAAGGCTTGATCATTGCAACTTGGCTATGCTAACAGAGACCACTAGAGGCTTATTGACAGATTTTGAGTGACCATCCATACACCAGCCTGCTTGTCTGGGTACAGCATCTGCTTACACACGAGGCCTTGACGGGGCACCAGGAGGGAGCAGCACTTGGTTGTTCTTTGCTGTATTTGGTCTCCCCAAACTCTCCAGCCAAGAAGGACCAGAGGACTAGCCCTGGTTCGCAAGTCTGGACACCCATCTCTGCTTTTAGGGTTCTCTGACTACCAAAGCTCTGAATATTTACATAGTGAAGGGAAGACTGCACTGCTTCTACTTTCTTCTCACACCCCTGTATTATATCAAGAAAGACGGGGCATAATTACAAATGCAGCAGATGTTGCTCTAAGAGAAGCACTCCAGCCTCATACAGCAAGTACACATCTCCCACAGCTTTTGCCCATAACCCAGCCTCTCGCGTGCTCAAGGTTGATAATTATTTTCACCTCTCACAGAAGAGAGAACATTGTCTTCAGTTCAGCGCTAAAGAAAATCAATGCACGTGCAAATCTGGTCCATCCGGGGCAGCAGTGCTTTGTTGCTGCCACATCCCTCAGTGCTGTCACTGATATTGATGCAGTAAAAAGAGAACTCCTCCTAAATGGCTTTTGGGACTTCATAGCACCACACACATTCATTGCTCCTGTCAGAAAGCAAGGTGAGCTGGTGGAGACAGGAATCACTCCTGCCTCTGTCTGTACTGGAAAGCAGTTTTGTGTCTTCTGCCCAGTCCATTTCTTTCCTTTGTGGCATCCCATTCTCACCTGAAACACAGACTGAAACAGTTAAAACCCCAACCTTATCCCCAAATGCAGGCTTTTTGGGCCTCTTGATCCACTGTCCTCTGGGATTTCAGCAGAAGCACTCTACACCTTTCACATAGCTCCCACTACTGCTCTCCATCGCATCATCACTCTGAGGTGCATCCTATGCTGGGCTGCAAGAGGGCACAGCTCAGGCAGAGCTCCCCGATTCTCTGGCAGCCCCAGCACGCAGCGGGGAGCCTCTGCACACAGACAAGGCGTGTTTGCACCCTCCTCCCCCTCGACCCAGCCGTGTCGTGCTAACGGCAGATCCTCCCACGCCATCGATGTGATGAGCCCTTTTTGACTGTCTGCCCTCTATTTAAAGATTTCTTTGAGGATTCAAGCACTACTGAGCTGCATTTAGAGAAGGGAGTTGGGTCAAATGCTGGAAGGGTTTCCAGATGGTGGAGTAGCGTAACAGAGCATGTGTGTGCCCTAGACAAAGAAATTAAACGTGTATGAAATATTGCAAAGCTGTGCTAATGCAATCCTTGCTTGATTTCACACCCTATTAACTCACTCTGCACAGGACCAAAGTGATAGATCATTTCTCAGACTATTTAAGACTCTGCACATATTTTAAAGTCTAATTAAAATTGTACACTGTGCCAGTAACACCTTCCATGGCAAGAAAGGGAATTTTCACATCCTTTGTCTTTGGTTTCATACTACTTCAAGAGACTTAAGGTGTGTCTCCTCCTTCTCAGTCTTATTTGCTGCTAAATGATGTTTGCAATAATCTAACACTGGAAAGATCAGAACAAAAGAAGCAGACTCAGAGGATGCATGCACAGGACAAACCGCTTGGAGGGAAGGCCGTATTTCAGCGTGATGCCATAGTGGGTTTAAAGCCATTGGGACGGCAAAATAACAGGCGGGTCCTGCCCTGCACAGCTGCACAGCTTTCAGTGCTGTTGCTGCAGTTACTGAGGCTGTGCTGGTGACTCATCTTGCTCAGACCGGCACCACTGGCATCCCAGGGTGAGCCGGTGCATTTCATGGGGCTTTGCACCAGCACTTACAGCCCTCTCCCAGCAGACACAGCTTCTCCTGCAAGCAGAGGAGCTCAGCCTCCAGGTTGGCCCACGTGGCTTTTTTTACCTCCCACTCACAGTGAAAGTGTCCGAAAGTGGGTTTCATGCCTTCCCTCTGCCCACAGGTCACGCTGCTGAGTGTAGAAATGACAACGCTGAAGGAGGAACGGGACCGGCTGCGAGGTGCTGCTGAAGACAAGGAGACAAGTGAACGGCTCCTGCAGGCCATCAGGGACCGAGATGAGGCCATTGCCAAGTAAGTGGTATGAAGAGCCAAAGCCAGGCTGGGTTAGTAGTTATGGAGTGCCTTAGCAGGAGATGTCTTCAAGTTGGGTTTCTTCCCCACTCTCCATGAATTTCAGTAACTGTTACAAAGCGGTGGAGTGAGTCTTGGCTTTGCTGGCATTGGGAAATGTCAGGAGCTTGGGAGCAGGGCAGAAGATGCCGATTTCCCAAGATGCCTCAAGGCAGGACAGGGGGCATTTAGAAGGATGCTGTGAACCATGTTTTTGCCACCCCTACTGCTGGTCTGAGTTAGAGAAAGGAGGAGAGAACTTCAGGGAACCAAATGGAAACACTAGGTCTGCCCTATTTGTCATGTTTTTCTTCCTTTGCTCTTCCAGATACACAACCCTGCTTTCCTGCCCAGCCCCACTAGAGCCTTACTTGGGCTTCTTCCCTAAACCATTTCTCTGGTCACTCACTCTCCTTTCTTATTCCAGGGTCTTTTTTTGCATCTCCAGTCCTGTAATCCTCTGTTTCTCCTTTCAGGATTCTCCCGCTGTTTTGACTTTATTTCCCCCATCCTCCTTGCAGACCTGTGCAGTTTTTTTCCCCCTTTACCTTGCTTCCCCAGCTCTGTGGGCTTACCATGCTGCCCCAGGCACTCTTTACCCCTAGGGGAGAGGCAGAAACATTCATCTTTCATGCTTCAGGTAGAAAGGATACATCTGAAATACATATCATGAAATGATAGACTTTTCAATCCTTGGAGAAGCAAGGAGGGGGGCTAGCAGAACTGCCACTTGGGACTTCTGACAGGCAGACTTTGGCCTGTTTAGGGACTTGGTTGACAGAATTCCCTGGGAGGCAGTTCTGAAGGGCAAAGGAGTCCAGGAAGGTTGGACACTCTTCAAGAAGGAACTCTTCAAGGCGCAGGAACAGGCCATCCCCGTGTGTCGGAAAACGAGCTGGTAGGGAAGAAGACCGGCCTGGCTGAACAGGGAGCTCTGGCTGGAGCTCAAGAAAAAGAAGGGAGTTTATGATCTTTGGAAGAAGGGGCAGGCATCTCAGGAGGAGTACAGGGCTACTGTGAGACTGTGCAGGGAGAAAATTAGAAGGGCCAAAGCACAGCTGGAACTTTAGCTAGTGCTGTTAAAGACAATTAAAAGGGCTTCTGTAAATACGTTGGCAACAAAAGGAGAACTAAAGAGAGTCTACCCCTCTAGCAGGTGTGGGGGGAAGCACAGTGACCGGGGATGAGGAAAAGACTGAGGTACTTAATGCCTTCTTTGCCTCAGTCTTTAGTAGGAAAACCAGTAGTACTTTGGGTACCCAGTCCCCTTAGTGGGAAGACAGGGATGGGAAGCACAATGAAGCCCCCATAATCCATTAAGAGGTGGTTAGCGACCTGTTACAATACTTAGACATACACAAGTCTATGGGGCCAG